TAATTTATTAATTTTGTTTTTATAGAAAAAGTAATAGGCTCATAGGAGATAAACCTTGCAATATTGAGAGATGTGGCAGCAATGATGAATTCCCTTTATTCGAAATGTTTTTTTTTTTAAAGTATTTTTTATATTTGTCATTATTAAAGTATATTTTATTTTACAGGAACAAACACAGGCCATTATAGAACAATTCTTGGGCTATCTTATTTGGACGGATGAATTTCTTACAGAAGTTGATGTTGATGAATCTATCTTGGTAAAAATTTTTTAAATTTTTTTTATTAAAACACTAGATGTAATGTTAAACAATGGAGAAAAGAAGATGTCCTAGTTGGTTTTTAAGATTTTTACACATTTTGTTTTGGATTACAAATACCAAGCTAATAAAAGTTTGTTAGAAATTGCTTTGAAAAAAAATATTTTAAGCAGATTTGTAAAATGGCTGACCTAATTTAGTATAAATTTTGCAGAAGTTTGGGCCTCTAAGTTTTACAGTTTGAGATTTTTCTTTTTTTTTTTTTATTTAAAGCCAATAGAGAATAGATTTTTTTTTTATACTTACTATTACTCTTCTACAATATTAATCATGTATGTTTTACAATTTTTGGATGTTCTTTCAGTTTTAAAGATTACTAGAAATAGATCCTAGCCCAAACTTCCCACATGGCAATAGGGATGGCAGTGGGCTGGTCACATAACAGATATTTAAAACACAGATAGCCATCCTATGGACTCTTGTTACATACCAGCATTTGGCCTTTGTGATTTTTTTCTTCACTTGATTATGTGCTCTTAATATTTATTGTAATGAGCAGAAAAGTCTGATAAGACATATTGTGTTGCTTTTTGCTCATCACAGGACCTAATGTACAGATACATGCACTTTCAATACATGGTTGCTGATGTAGCTAATATGGCAGCGCATGATTTTCTCTCTGCTATAACTCAATACAGTGGAGTTGATAAGGTAACAGAGAGCACATGAAAATGTTAAAATTTATAACAGGAAAAAAAAATCAACATTTTTAAAACTAGTAATTTATTTACTAATATTTTGTAACTTCTAAGAACATAATTTATTTCTTTTATACAAAGACGATTCAACTTCTTGGGCATGTTTTGATTGGTAACTTGGATGCCTCATGTCTACGTTACGTACTTCTCATTTGTGATTTTATCACAGCAGTCGACTGGAAAGAAGTTGAAGATTTTAGAGCCTTTGCTACAGCCATCTACCCATTTCTTAATGTAATTATTTTGTCCTTTTTTAATTAAAAGTTTATAATTGTTTCATTTTTTTTTAAAGTACAAAACATGGGTAACATTTTTTTCTTCAGGAAGATGACTTTGAAAACTTACAAATGAGTTACACTTCTTACAGTGAGAACAAGATATCTCAATACCATGTGGCATCATTTCTGATAAGCCTCATCATTAAGCACAGAGAGCCCAGATTTCATGATGTGAGTTCCAAACATATATATTCATTTTATTAATTTATTCTTTTGTGACCTTTTCAACTTTGAAATAATTTTTTACATTGAGATAGTGTTATCCACATTGAAATATAGTGTTATTTACATTGAGATGGTATTTTCCAAATGGCAAGTAAAATATATAATTTTAATGAACATATTTATATGGAGAATCACCAGCACAATTTCTCAACTTTAAATTTTGGGTAATAGTTTTACACATGAAAGATGTTTTAATAATAAAGTGATTCATTTCACTTCCTGCCGGGACTGGTTTTTATAGGATGTTCAACTGTAATGTTTTTAAGGGTGTCAATAAAGGGTGTCAGCCATTATGCTGGTCACTTGATACCCTTGTTAAATTTTACCTACAAAAGCAACTAATTTGATGGCTGCCAGGTCATGTGGTATGTGCACTGGACTGTTATTCAGTTGTCTTAATGGTCCGGGTTCATACCCTGCCCACTGCCATTCCCTGTTCTCTTGTGGTAAGTAACGTCTAGAATGTAGATTATTTTCAGTTCAGAAGGAACATTCAAAACGTGTAAGACATTTACAATTTAAGCACAAATCATTATTAGCCTCTTCTCACATGTAATTCCTTTTTTTTGAGGGGTTTATTGTTTATTAACATTAATTAATTTTGCTACATTTTTTTGATAAATTATTAAGAAAACAAATAATTACAATTTAATATAAGCTGATTTGTTTAAATTTATGTTCTTAGGCATATAATAGAGTTTTTAGTAAAATTTTAACATTTACCTCAAGACAACCCAAAATGGTATTTGCAAAATGTTTTTTATAATTTTATTTTTTGTTAGATGGAAATCAAACTGGTGCAGTATCAGGGACAAGAAAATGGGCATCTCACTGATGTAGAATTCAAAGAAGCTACAGAGAACCTTGTTCCATTATGCAATGAACAGATACGAAACAGGCTGTTTGTCCAGTCATTGAAGAGCTCTCAGCTTGAGTTGTCAAAAAAAGCTGTACCAATAATGAAACTAGCTCGTATCTTTAAAAAAAAAAATCATGTTTTATTGCTTTAATTGTACAACTTAAGTAGTTTAACTGAGCAATTGAGTCTTATTTTAAGAGCCCCTGTAAGACCGATGAACTATTTCTAATAACATGAATGAGATCAGCTTTTTATGCATTTAATATAAATTTAAATAGAAAGAATTATACTTTCTCCATTTTGGGGGCTGTAGATATCTAAAGGAAACAATGTCACTTTATTGTACAACTAGGAACATGTAGATATCTAAAGGAAACAATATCACTTTATTTTACTACTAGGAACATGTAGATATCTAAAGGAAACAATATCACTTATTTTACAACTATACTAGAAGCACTTTTTCAAGACATTTAAGTTTCGCAAAAAATTAACTGTTAAAAGTTATCCTGACAAGACGGAAAATTGAAATGTTGATTCTGTCCTTCTGAAATGTTACCCAAATATATTTACATAATATAAAAAAAAGAGGAAATATAAATAAGAGTATTAAATATCTTACATCATTTTTGAATCCATTGTAATATGTCGAGTAGTTTGTCTTGGTGCTGTCAAGTATTAGTGTGCTTCCTTTAACTTGCTAAGATATTGCTGCTTTTTTAACTCTTGAACAAATCAGCAATGTGATAAGAGAGAATGTTCTATTGAAACTGAAGGAAAGGAGAGAGCATCTTAAGCCTATGGCTATTGGTAAAGAGAAATTTAAATTTTGTTTTTCGACTAGAAAATTATGAAACTCTGGTAAAAAATTAGAAAAGTAGATTTGAAACTTACAGCTGTGTAACGTAATAGAAGCACTATTCAACTTTAATACATGTAAATTATTGAAATTCACATTCTTTTGATTGTAGATGCTAAAGAACACAGGGCCTCCAATGAAGGTGACTACAATGGCAGTAAGCTAGTGACCATGACCTACATGAGACAGCTTGCAGCCAACATTAACAGGTAAAAAAATAAAACATCTCATATTCAACTACCAAGAAGTAAAAGTTGATCAGTGAATGTAAGGGGGAAAATTTGTTTTATACATTTTATGAAAAAAAGATATTAGAGATATTTTTCTTAAAAAGACAGCAGTGTCAAATCATTTTTTCTAGTTAATCCAACACTTTTTAATGTCAACTGTATAAATGATTGTTGATCTTGTTTTCTTGAAAATGAGGGGGTGGGGGAGAGACAAGCCATGGAGTATTTTTAAGATAGTAGTTATTCAATTTAAAAACTCAAATCAAACTATTCTTTTAATGTTTGAAATTCTATTTTGCAATGGTTAAATTTAACAAGTGTAGACACGATGGCTGAGAGGTAAAGCACTTGGCTTCCAAACTGGGCGTCCTGGGTTCAAATCCTAGTGAAGACTGGGATTTTTTTATTTCATGATTCTTAGGGTGTCTTTGAGTCCACCCAGCTCTGTGGGCCACAGAAACAGACGACCTTTACATCGTCTGCGCTATAGGCCGCAAGGTCTGAAAGGCAACTTTACTTTCTAAGATTATTAAGTAAAGTAACTTTATTCAATGATTTACTAATTGTGTAGCTGAGGACCAAGTTGTCAGAAGTTAAATTGGACTGTATATACCAGTCACAATACAGACTGTACCTAGTTGGTCATGCTTCTTTAAGCCTGCAAGGAATGAGTGTTGAACATCAATTATCATCTTCAGTCCCATCTGTTGATTGGGGCCTCAATGGCGCAGAAAACTTCTTCTTCCTTCACTTTAAACTGTTTTTTTCTGTTATTATTTAAATTTTTAAAATCTTTTTTTTTATGTAAATCATGTTTTTTACCTCCAGACAGTTCAAACAGGAAGAAGACAGCATATATTCTTAAAATGAGATGACAATAAATATCACTGTATATGTTAAACATATGTGTTTATTGGAAATAAAACTTTCTACTTGTAACAGCAAGATTATTTTTTTTAAATAGTTGCATAATACTTATTAATTTTGCATTAAAGATCAAGAAGTAAATAGAAAGGCTAATCTTTTGATAAAATTTACAAATGTTTTGTCCATCACTTGAATTTAGTCTTTCATGATTGTTAAAAAATAACTTGTATTTGATGATAGTCAAAAAATTTTTTAAAATATTTTTGTTTTCGTAACCTTGTCTTGTGAGGACATATGACTGCTGATTTTCCTGATAAGTTGTAAGAGTTTATAACTCCACAAATTAATTTTCTTCATTAAGGCACTAAATTCTCAGCATGTGTGTAGAAAAGTGTAAGGAATATTTGAAGATTACGACTTAGGATTTCTGTTACAAAATAATCCCTGTGCATAATTCCTCCAGGACACATTGACATCAAACATGTTTCAATTCAAAAAGACGACTTAAAGATAGTAAGTCTCACATTTTATTCATGACCAAAATCCAATGTTAAAAAAATATTTAGCACACATACAAAAGAAAACAAAACACAAGCAAACAGAAACATTCCAAACACAAAATTTTCCTCTAACAGAAACATTGTCAGGGAAAATAAAAACCAAAAAAAAACTTTTAAAACTTAAAAATGAAGGGGGAAATGGTTTTGAACTTAAATAAAAGTTAAAATGAAGATGACTTTTTTAAAAAGCAAGTGTTTCATGAATTCTGTTTTGTTTGGTATTTTATGAATATAGACAGATAGTATTACAAATTTTGTGCTATTTTAAAAAACATATTTTGTAACTTATTGAAATTAAACACTGATATTTCAGAACTGTACAATAAAGATTTCTAAAAAAAACAAAAAAAAAAACCATACAAGCAAATCTAATTGTCTGGATTTTTAATGTGATATTTTTGAAATGGTATCAACTTTTACTGCTATTTGGCAAGTAGAATTATAAATAGAATATACATGAGCACTTAGTAGAAAATAAATTTTGAATACCTTAGAAATGCTGTGATAATATACCCACACCAGTTTGCTTTGAAATACAACAAAATAAATCTACGATCTACATAGTCAACTATTAGCCAAAGTCTATGTAATAGTAACATATAAACTATGTTCCTTGTGTGTGATCTAAATATTATTAGTTAATAACCTTAGGTCGGAAAATAAACTTTTCCTTTTCGGCTTATGGAAGGAATAATTAAAAAAAAGGCATGGTTACTGATGAATAAGATACAAGAGATAAAACCCTAAACATTTTCCCACATGATTAAGTTGATGCCTGAACTTAAGAGTGAGTAACAGATTGAACATTCTCTGAATAGTTGACTTATGAATTTAAAAAGAAAACCAATAACCACTGCATTTTATTGTTTATTTGGTTGAAAATTCAAATATTTCATAGTGCATGTCATACATCTAACTTAAAAAGACAAACTATGGAACAAACAAAAAAAGTTTAGACTTAATAATTGAACATCAATGTCTTACATCGAAATAAATGAGGGAGAGATATAAATATAAAACAGAGTTTTGCTTGCAAGATCTCTAACAGAAATACTATAGGAAAAAGTTCAATGTATAGTTATTGGGTTTAAAAAAGATATAGTTATCTACTTGAAATAAAATAAAAGAACTGAAATATTCACAGGTTTTTTGCTTGTTGATTCAAAAAATTACTTTATAAAAATGTACAAAATTCAAAACATTCCAACAATCTGTCCTTCATGTTTCAATACCATACAAAAAATAAATCACAATGAGTTTGCTAAAAACAAGAACTCAGCCCTACATGCACAACTGGTGGATGCCCCAATGTCTTCTATGTTTATGCTGACATTAAACTTTATGCAATATTCATCACAAATACCCTCTCCAAGAAGAATTCAAATCAGGCTTAATAATAATAATACAACAGTCGCCTGTTAATAAAAAATACACTTTTCTTTGCTTTAAGTTGTGGTCAGTTGAACAAGTTGAAAGATCAACATCTGGCTGTGCTCATGAGTCTTTCACTTTTCCACCATCACCCTCAGACACAAAGCGCTTGCGACCTCTGAAAGTTAGCAACAAAGAACAATTAACTAAACACAAGTATGTATCTTAGACAAATGAAAGATAAAACTTCAGACAAAGTATTAACCCTTTGAACACCAGCTAAGAACTAATGTTGAATTCATCTTTTTCATTCAAAGAGATTTAAATAAGAATGTTCAAAGGATTAAATCTTATGCTCTATAGAACTCTTTACTACAGATTCTATATCTAATTAGAAGCAAAGTGTACAATGCTATGGGACAGAATATAAAATGTTAACTTTGTACCTTTGAGGAACATCATTTAAAATTTCATTGCTAATAATTCCTTCTCTATGACAAATTGTTGCAAATTTGTCAAGCAGTGCATAAGCATTGGGCACATCCAGACAAATGTCTGCCATGTTTTCAAAAATGCGTCGGAATCCCTACAAGATGAGAAGCAGACAAACAAAATAAAAAATTGTTAAAATTTGAAAAATGTAATCAAAATAAAATTTGGATTAATTTAACATTGATTTCAGATAAATCTTTAGTAGTGCTATAAGACTAATGAAAACTTATCAAACTATTAAAAAGTTTAACTACCTGGATTAACTGGTCTGGAGTGATGATAACAGCAACAGAAAGTGATTTCAGAAGTTTGGCCATCATTTCAGCTGCCCTATCAGTTGATTTTTCAAGCACTAAATTGGTAGCCTATAGTAGATGACATATTTGAACAAGATTTAGCCAAAGGTACATGAGCAAACACAAAGTTTTGTCACAATCCATGCAATTTTTTTATTTCTATTGCTTTTTTATAATGCATCCTTCATGGGCTATGGTCCAATTTCTTTTGAGGACATGCAGGGAGAAGAGGTATTTGGGACAAGGTATTCCATTCTGCCTTTAGACACTCAGCAAACACAACTCTGCTCAAGTTTGGATTCTATCTTGAGTCAAGCAGTTTTTGACACTCAGCCAGAGATTTGTCATGAGGCTTTTAGGCCAGAAGCAAATGGCATATCCTTGAACTTTGTTTAACCCATTAGCTCCTTCTGCAGTTGGAAACGTTTTCCTATTTTTGTCCTAAACTGTTGTAGAACTTTTCTAAAATCCCCTATTCAATATACTTGCTTTAAACTTTTTTAAAAGAAGATTTCTTTTAGTCTTGTTGCAAGTGTGATTGCAAATCATTTTGCAGATTACCGATTCTATTTTTAATAAAAATCGGGAAGATTTGTATTGTTAAAATAATTTTTCAAACATGCTCATAGCCCCAGTGTATAGTATAAGCCCCCACGTGGGAAAATGGATATTTTTAACCTTTTTTTTTGTTATTCCAATGATATTAAAAGTATATATTTTTTTTAACTAGACATATTGTTTTATTTTTTTAAGTTGTTTGTTTGTTTATATGTACTTTATCTTAAATCTGATTATTTTTTTTTTTTTTAATATTTTTTAGGATATTTTAAATTCGGAGTTATCCCTCTTTGCTTAGGATATAGTTTTTCTTAACCAGAAATAGGAGCTATTGGGTTAAGCTGAAAATTTTAACAACTATTACATCATTTAATTTTGAGATGTAGGATACTATTTTCTCATATGGCCTGAAATAGTAAATTGGTAAAGTTTCCCTTTCAGACCTTGCGATCTATAGGACAGATGATGTTATGGTCATCTGTTCCTTTGGCCAACGTTTAACGAGCAGGGTGTTATGTGGCCAGCACAGCGACCCAACTACCTTTACTTTCCCCAACTTAAGTCCGGTACCCATTAGAGCTGGGTGGACTCAGGGGCATCCTAAAAATTCAGAAATTTAAAATCCCAGTCTTCACAGAGATTTGAACCCAGAACCCCAGGTTAGGAAGTAAGGTGCTTAACCACTCAGCCACTGCGCCCCCATGGCCTTAAATAGTTGAAAAAAATTCGTATGACATAATTAAGCTTATCCAGAAATCTAGGAAAACATGAACTGAAGAAACAATGTGATGAGTATTGAACTTCAATTTGTAAATTATCTTCAGATTTTAATCATTAAGGAGTATTGCCATGTCTATATAGAAACAAAGAATCCTCTAGATACAGTCACAGCTACTAGAGATATGAACTAATGAGAGTAAACAGTTTTTACTACTATAGATAGTATGACTAAATACATTTTCATAGTTTACTTTAAAACTATTAAAAATGATCTTTATTGGTGGTTGCTGATTGTTTTTTTTCTACCTACATGAAACATTTTAAAAGCCAATAGACAAAAGTTTCCTTACTTCATAAACCAACTCATGGTGAAAGTGAGGGACATCCAACTCTGTCAAACATCTTGTGGCTTCATTAATATCTCCAGAGGACAGATACTCTTGTAACAGCATCACCATCTACATTTAAAACAAAACAAAAAAAGAGGTAGTACATGTCAACAGTTTTTAAAATAAGTTATACTACAATACAGTGAATTTGTAATTTGATACACATGTAATTATCTTACTTGCTTTATCAAGTATTTTACTGGCCTAATTCCGCCACCAGTTCCCCAGATGTTATCAAGTCTGACAATACCATGCTTTTGTGTCAATAATGTATCAGCTTTCAATAATGCATCCCTAAGACAAGAACAAGCCAATGTTATTACTGTATCCATCCACAAAATTGGAAATGCAAGACGAAAAAAAGTGTTTTTTTAAAGTTTGTTATGCCAAAGGGCCATTGCTACAAAACTTTAAACTTAATATCAACCTATGCGACCGCAGTGGGCCATGCACTTTCATAGTCCCCGCACTAATTCTAGGTGTACATTATTAAATTAAACCATTATAACTTTTATATAATAACAGGGTTTCCGCGCCTCCTGGAAATCTCCTGAAATTGCAAAATATACGCCTACACGAAAAAAAAGTCCTGAAAATCTCCTAAAAATAGACAAAAGTGATAAAAAAACGGCATTGTCAGCTTTCATATATTACAAATTTATTGCAATTTATTCTAATACAAATTCTAAATATAATATAAATAAATATAACCAATAATTCCCTTTTTTTTTCAAAGTCAAATAGCTACATAAATTAAAGGTATTTTTCAACGCTGCATACAACAACAAATGTTATGGTTATACTTACTGACTATTTTTACATTCCACTTTGCCTTTATGAGACTGAATATACTTGGGTGGCAAACAATCATCAGCTACTGCTCTTGCCATAAACTTTCCAACAACCTAAATATTAATAGATTTGACATATAGAGCATATTGAGTTTAGTCTAGTATCATTAATAAACATTTTCTTTCGGTTATATAATTTCATTTAAACACTCAACAGTCTTTATATACCTAAGTGAACTGATGACATTTTTTTTCTGAAAGATAGATGTACAAATATGACAAAACTAAAAAAAAACAAAAACATTATAGACTTTCAATTCAACACCATTTTTGGGGTTTGGAATTAATGGAAGACTATAGTCTACCCCACATAATAGATACTTAACAGTTGAAACAAAAATTAAATGATGATTTATATTTCTCAGACCACACAATATATATAACAAGTAGAATAATACTGTTGATCTGCATAGTCATCAGCTGCCACTAAACCTTTTTCTTGTACTCTCTACTGCAACAAACTTCCTACCTCAGGAGCATGTGGAGCATCTATAACAAGGTCAGACAGCTTTCCCAAAAGATCATTAAAGCCTTCAATAATGTGCTCATGTTGGAGGACACGGCCATAGAGATCTGAGAGTAGAACAGAGGTCATCTCACATTGAGCAGGTTTGTGATCTATTGCCTTGCTAATGATGTACTCTACCAGTTTGGGGCGTTTGGAACCAATATTTAAGTCAACCACTGAGCTCTGAAGCATAACAAATAAATACAATAATAAGATTACACTTGACAAATCTTTTCTTTTTAAAAGTTAATGAAAACCAATATAGAAGGGTGACAATAAAAACAAGGTCACAAAATAATTTGTGCAGAAACATTGACAATAGGGCAGCTTTTAATATTTTCAGCAAGAATATCAGAAGCTTGAATTAAAACTATCAACAACCACAACCCTATCTTGAACAATACAAAAAGAAGATATGTGTACAGATCAAAAGTTTTGCCGATATTATTATATTGTTAGGCTGACTGACAACATGATACCACTCAATACGGAGACAAAGCATATTTTAATCTTATTATTATTACATCATTAATATTTATATGTATTCAATGAACTGATGATTGAGAAGATAAAGTTCTATATGAACCTGGCTTATCTGATGCTATTAAATGATTATCTAATTGATCATTTTTTAAGTAGCAAGTCTCTCATTCAAGGCCTCAAGGAAGAAACTTTTCACTTTGGTTAAACCTCTATATTGTTTTGGATGTAGCTTATTGCACTGCAAGTGAATAATATTAATTAAGGATTTCACAAAATAATAGCCTCCAAGGTTTTTTACAATTAAAAGTGAATAGTTGTAAAATAGTGTATTTACATG